ATCGCTATTTTGACCTACACAAAAGATATAAACAACTAAATCAACATGCCTCATTCTGTTTGGCAAGCATTTTTCTGGTATTCTCATTGTTGCGAAGATCCGTTTTATTCCCCACCAGGACTATGGGGACGTGAGGACAGAAGTGTCTCACTTCAGGAGTCCACTTTTCTTTAACATTTGCTGCAAAAAGTGAAGAAAAAATTTGATCAATTAGCAACATAAATCACTTTCCTAATCTATAATATACTAAATAAAACCTAATTACATTATTATTAGTCCCTCTTTTGAATCACCACTTTAATGTGGTGGAGAGCTTTGCGGACCCTATAATCATGAAGGCCATGTTGTCCATTGATTAGGATTCTGGTAGGGTCTTTCAAATTGACAAATTAGCCTCAGGAGCTGGGTCAGACAAGAAGTAATTCAAGGATTAAGATTATTTGGCAGATCACAAGAAGAGATGAGGTTGCCCAGATTTTGGAGCCCATAGCACTCTCCCAAAGTCAGGCAGGAGGGGAACCAGGCAAGTGTCTTATGGTTAAACCTTGGCCTCAGGAGCTTAACCACAGGTGGGCTTTACACAACAAATAAGGGATCACCACCTTCAGCTGAGCAACAGAGTCTGCTCTTCACGTCTTCACGTTGCAACTGTTGTCTGTGCTTATGCACTGAACAGCATTTCAGATTACCCAGTCTGATTGGAGGATGCTGCCATGAAAAGGGTGCCATCTGGGTATGAACTCTGTCCATAGGGTGGTTGGACTCAAACTTAGTGATAGGGTTAGGCGTAGAGGGGATGCTTCTTCACTGATATCAGCATGCCTCCTGTGTGCCAATCTCTTCAGATTTTACATGTCCCACTGGTAGGAGACCTCATGTATGACTATACCAGCTGAAGGGATTATATGTATACCCTTCTGGCCTGGGAATGCCTTGGGATCCCCCATAATGAGCTGGAGAGAGTGACGAGGGAGAGGATGTCTGGGTTTTCCTTCTGGACCTTTTGCTCTTGGTAAGTTGTTAAAAAAAACAGTAGTACATGCTCACACAAGGACCAGCTGCCGGTATTTTACCATAAATTAGAGAATTTTTTTTTTTTTTTTTTTTTACAGTGTACCTCAACACATGACCCGATCTTGGATCAACAGATGGATAAACAGATATTACTTTCAACCCAGCCCACAAACAATACCTAAACTGTCCGGGCTGACCACAGAGAAGCACAGAAGGATTACATCAGTGTCTGGATAGGAAAGCGGCCTCAGTCGGTCATAGTCTTCCTGACCTGCTGTGTCCCAAAGTGCCAACTGTATCTGATAAAAGAGCAAATGCATAAGTTTAGAAACTTTCTGTAATCGTTGCAGAAAGTTAGGTCTACACAGTATTTTGATGATCATGGAAATTATGTTGTGTGTTTTAATATTATTTTAAACAAAAAAAAGACTTCTTTTGCCGTCTTTTGTATAAATCATTTAACAATATTTTGTGTTGTTTTTTTTTGTATTTTATAGCATGACAAAACTATGCTGCATGAAATAAAACTGAAAACATAATAATATTAGATAAATGTTGATTTCCACATCATTTTATTGTGGCTTATTTTTTCTCAAGTATATAATCTGTTTTAGAACCTTTGACTCACTTAAAACGGTTTGGTAATATGATATATTTTATGTCAGCAGTCATTTTTCATTTGATAGATATGCACCTCAAAGACTAAAGGTGTAATTGCTGCAAACGGTGGTTCTACAAATAATTGATTCTGAAGGTCTGAATACAAATGCATGTCTCACTTTTTATATTTTTATTTCTGAAGAAAATTAAAACAGCGCACCCCTTTTATTTCAGTTCTCTGTTATGTTCTAAAGTGTATGTGGTTTCTAATTGAAACGTGGAAAGAAGACACAACTACAGACTATGTGGTGAAGTGCATGAGTTTGAAAATAAAACAAAATGAAAGTAGGATGGTAAACTTTGGATTTTATTCTCAGCAATAAGTACTGAAAAACAATTAAAAAAAAGTGTTTTGATTTTTTTTTTTTGGTCTAATGGGAGAATAAAACATATTCAAATGATTTTATAGAAAATAAAATCATTAGAATATTTTATTTTCTAAAATATACAATTTTAAGACATTGCAATTTACTGATAATGGTATTCATAATTAGTAATGACAGGTATCATAATTTTAAAACTTCAAAAAGAAATTGCAAAATATTAGGGCCCACCTTCCAAGAAAGATGTGTTTTTTGTCTGTTTGCTCACCAACTACGCCAGCAGTCAGACTTCCAGCCAGGTGACATCATCCCTTACCTGTTTCTGATCCACTTCAATGTCTGCCACATAGTTCTCAAATACAGTAGGCACATAGACTTCAGGGAACTGGTCTTTGGTGAAAACCGTGAGCAGACATGTCTTCCCACAAGCACCGTCCCCGACGATCACCAACTTCTTCCTGATAGAGCCCATTTCTGGGAAACACAAACAAAACTAAATTACAATAGAGGAAAACACAGCCAAACCACGCCACAGGTGTGAAGTACAAGTCTTTCTTGCTGTTAAAATACAGAAAACTTACACTGCTTTTGACGCTTTCAGAACAGCTTGCCTTGGTTGACACTTGTCACAGCTGCTTTTACAAGATTTCAGCCAGAATGGGCTGACTGGCTGTGTTCACACTCCACTGAGATTCCCTTGCTATGCTACCAATCCAGTTGAGTAGGGAAATGCAGACTTGTCAAACCAGTCACCTCCTTGAGGCTAGGCTATCTAAAGTTGTTTAAACTCTGAAATTCAAAGTTTGCCTCACTTATTCTAACATGCCAGCCTTGTACTATCTGTAAAACTGAAGGAACACGGTTCCAAGTAGGGGTAGAAGAGCTCAGTGAGTTAAGTGTCCTACCAGACAGACTGGAAATCTCAGCCCGCCTCGTTGTGTCATTTATCAGAAGGATGCCGCACCTTACACGTAGCAAAATGTTTTGAACTTTCTGTAAACTGCAGCTGTCTCATTACCCGTCTGACAGCATTGACATCCAAAATGTTCACAGTGAAACAACCCAGTGTGTCTGAAATAGTTTTCTAATTTATTACATAATGTACAAACTACTAACGGAAAATTATTTAAGGTTTTGTGCATACCAAACTATGGAAGTTAAGTGGCGTATGGAGATTGTTGCATGATTTCACCAGAATGGAATGGGTCCTGACAGGATTGAGTCTCACTTACTCAACCCTGTCACAGGTCTATTTAGTATCTATCTCCATTAAATTGCCTGTTAGCAATTTATTGTTAGTCACATTGGAGCATCACAGTACATTTAGGCATTTAGATGCAATGAAAATACGTTTCTGTAGCTCAAGTCAAGCAACGGAATGGGAAAGAGAGGAGATGTAAGTGGCGTTGGATGTGGCACGGCAAAGTTGCTGGTTGCAAACATGCTGCTCAGTGTATCTCACACACAACTCATCTAGAGGGAGTTGTGTGTTTTCACACTCAGCCATCATTTGGGTTGGAAAAAGAAAACAAATATAGGAGAATGGGTAAACTGGGTCAAGGTAACAGAAAGGCACATCGCATCGCCCAGAGTTTATGACATTACAATAACTGATCATGCACCTGTGATCTTTGAATCTTCTTGAACAAACTTTCATCATTTTATGTGTCGTCTCAAACTCACCCTTCAACGTCAAGGGGTGGAGCTAACACGGGTCTGTTGAACTCTACTAGTTTAGCCTCATTCTTTGACCGTCATGGCCACTTTCATAGACGATTTTACTTGACTTTCCTGTGAGCTCATTGGTGAGATTTTACAGTTAGCAGACAAGACAGAAGCAGGAGGCTGTTATCCAGACCAGATGAAGTCAAAGATTGAATGCCAGTTTCGTGGAACAGGGAAGCAAAAAGCTGGTACTCAATCAATGATTTTCAAAGAATGAGGTTAAACCAGTGGAGTTCAACAGATCAGTTTCAGTCCCGCCTCTCGAAATTTGACAGAAAAATGTATTTTATGGTGACGCTTCAGGAACAGGAACCATGAAACTGTTGAAAACGCATTGAATTAATTATCTGCATCTGCCATATAAGTTAGCAATTTATTGGTTAAATTGCATATTTAACAAATTGTCAATTAAATAAATTACTGAAACACTTAATTCAATAAGGATACAGATTATAATTTTATGATGTATTTATCTATTTAATTTTGTCTCTTTTAACTTAAGTTTCCAGAATTGTTTTCCTAATTCTTCAGTTTTTCTTTTTTTTTTTTTTTTACTGGGTTTCCGAGATAAATTCAATCAATTATCTCTACTTGCCAATAGATTTTGACCAATTTAGAAGGAAGCTAAAAATATACATCTTTGCTCCCTCATTTTTTATTTTTATTTTTTTTTGATGGATGCGTTCAACTTTAAGTCAGTAAAGATTTACATCTGGAGACTTTATCTACATATTCTTGCTGACGTAATGGCTATCTGTCCATCTCTTTACTTTTTTTCCCTCAGAATAAATCTCGAGTGAAATCTCTTGGAAAAAAAGAAAAACAAAACGTTTTTCAGAAAGTTTTATTTTAATGTGTGACCACTTGAAGGTTTATAAGAATTTATTTACAAAAATCACCAGGATGCCATTTTATTTCTTACATACGTGTCAAAGTCATGACCTATTTCTATTATATTTTCTTCATTTGTTTGTAAGGGCTCATATCAGTAAGCGTGGTTGATGATGATGTACACGTATAAAGTGCTTTCATCATACATATAATCGCAGAGTAAGAGCTGTTCATAATGAATAAGAGCATCATATTCATCACGCTCTCGCCTCCCTGAGAGCAGCCATGCAGACACTGAAATGGCTACTGAGATGCTTCTCAAGCACGACTGACATTAAAACCTGTTGACAACAAGCGTGCCTTCTCTCTCCCTGTGCTTTTAATTCCAGAGAAGGCACACTGAGATCAAGATGGTTTTTTTGTCTTGTTTTGTTTTTGTTGTTGTTGTTTTTTTTTTTGCTGCTGATGTCAGGGTTAAAACTGCTGCTGCTTCTATTTGTTTCTATGGACACCGGAGGTGAGGTGACTGATTGGCCGCATCTTCTAGGCTATTTCCTGACGGTGGCTGTGCTGCTGCTGCGTTGGTAGAATAGGACGTAGGCTTGATTCGTCTGAAGCTGGTTCTCCGTGATCGAGGTCGCGCTGCACATGGAGAAAAAGGAGGGGAACTCTGAGAAGGAAGACGAGGTTTACACAGAAGACATTGTGACACGAAACTGCTTCCGATAATCTGGTGTTAGAACCTCTCAAGTCTCACCTGGAGTCGTTGTAGAAGCACCATCCGCTTTGATCTAGACAGCAGGCCGTGTAGTGGCCCATATTCACAGTCCCAGCGTGGTTACAGATTGCATATAAATCATATAAAACTGGGCCTATGGAGACAAAAACAGACATTTCTCAGAACTGAGGCTTGTCCCTGAAATATTTTTTTGTAAAAAAACGGCCAATTATTTCTGCATAAATTAAATGCAAAAGTATTCAAAGGCAAGACTAATTAACACAGCCTTTTGTTTATTATAAAAATATCATATTCAAAATGTTGAAAAAATATATATATTGCGCATTAAAAATTTTAAATTCCTTTAGTTTGGCAAACATTTTGTCTTATTTTCTAGAATTTGTTTACTCTTGTCATCAACAAGCAAAACCAAACAACCAGAGTTAATATCAGGCCACTTACTTAGCCATTATATATACATAATTAAATACCTTCAAAAATCTTTGCGATCTGACTGAGTTAAGGTTTGGCGTACATCTCTTCAGTACAGCAGAACAGAATCCAGTCAACTTTGGCTCAATCTGAACAGATTTCTGCATAAGGATGCTTGATTCGCTTGGGCTTCATCCTCTGACCTCATGTTCCAAATTCAGCAGCTTCGGAGTTAAAAATAATCTTACAAGGGAAAAACCTTTTTTTGTCTGTGAGAATTTTCTTGGATTTGCACGTGATGGAATAAGGTTTATACTACAACAACAAATGTAATCTTCTCCACAATTAAAATTAAAATCTAAAACAGCTGTTTGAATCTATGCTAATACAGCAACATGTTTTCTTGTTTTACGTAGTCTCCATCGAGTTCAGCAGTAAACCATGTCAGTTTTAATTTTCTAAATAAGTTTCCCCCTCCCCCATTACTTGAGTGAAATTCGATTATGGCTCCAATAGCAATCAATTTTTCAACTTTAAGCTTTTTCTTCATATTTTAAGTAATTTTTCCTGGTGCACATGTTTCAATTTACATCGATATCTCCAATTTATCTCCCACTTTTCTCATAGGCTATTTCAAAAACATATGGTCAAGCACCTGCCCATGATTAGTACGTAAAACATGTACATAGGTAAATGAAAACTCTTTGTTACCACAGTCAACGGGTCCGTAAGGTCCGAGGTCCAGGTTTTTGAGGGGAAAAGACACGTACACTGTGCTTTTACTGATAGACCACCTGGATGTTGTGAAGCGGTTCAAATCTGTCGGAGACTGTTAAGTACGAGCGCACAATGTGTTTTTTGCACACCGACACGATTCCTCACTTTTCAAATTAATTCGAGCAGAAGTTGTTGCCAAGGATACGGATTACAATAACCTGAGGAAACCTCTGGATGGAAAGCCGCTTGGTGCACTCTGTACGCCTGCTACATCTCTCGCACATCTGGAAGAGGCGGAAATCAACATAAAATTTTTTTTAAATAATAATAATAATGACCAGATCTGTTGTTTCAAGTGAATCTGGTTGTTTAAACTGAACTGTGTTCAGTTCAAAACCTGTGAAATTTTCTTTCTTACCGGTGAGTTTTCCTTGTCAAGTTTCTCCTCCTGAGAGAAGAGGTCCAGACACTCCTGCAGGGTGACCTCCCCTGCAGAGCTCCTTTTAGGGATGGGCAGCGACAGATCACAGAACACATCAAACGTGTTGGAGTAGTGCGAACAAACCGAGCAGTGCAGTGAACTCCGCAGCTGACCCGAGAAAAGATCTGCCAAGAGCGGGGCAAAATGTAATGTCCTCTTCTGCTTCTGAATCCAGTTGAAGACAAAGACAAGATTGACCTCCTCACCTACTATTATGCTGTCATCTCTCTCCAAATGCTTCTTCCACATGGCATTCGCCTCTTCTGAAATTCTACGTCAGATCAGAAGTAGGAAGCATAAGTTGTGCATTCACATGGGATAGAGCCAGGATTCAAGCACAGATTCGTCTTGTTCTGTTCGTACCTAAATCTGACGTATTGCTGCTGAGGCTCCTTCCCTGTCCTTTTGACATAAGGCCTGCGATTTATTTCCGTATGCAGCTTGTCCAGCAGGAACCTGAGAAACTCCTGAGCATCTTGCTGACTGGGTTAAATTCAAACATAGGAACATTTTTAAATCTCAAGGAGAACTCTAGAGATTGTTTCATAATAAAAGTATCACATGCGGTGAATATCAGACGTCATTTTGAGGACCGCAAATAACGATCATAGTCTTAATGGCTGATGTTGGGCAGGAGTGTTTGGCGGAGCTATGCTTTGGTTTGTGACACATTTTTCATTTAGGATTTCTGTTGCCAAATTAAACTTCAGATCATGTTCAATTACCGTCAAGCCTGGAGTTCAACAGAGCTATGTTCCTGGTCCAATTTTTTTCATTTTCTTCCATTTAATAACTTTTAAGGATTGTTCCGTGATCATGACTGTTGTCATGAAGTGTCATTCAGTAAATAATGACACTTTTAATGCAAAGTTGCTTTAAAGTCCATTAAAAGCGTCAACTTTGCATTATTTTGTAAATAATGACACTCTAACAGTGTATTTTTTATTTTTTTTTGACAAACCCCCATGCATATTTAATATTCTCCAGCCATAAATCACTACTAGAAACCTGGCAGCTGAATTTGCCTTATGTTCTTAAGATATTGGTAAAACCAACAAAGCTTTTGTTGTTGCAGCCCGCGTTGAAGCCTCTTTTCTATCAACTCAACAGTCTTGCTAAAAGGCAAGTAAAGACGACGTGTGTAGCTGATTTTTCTTGATGGTATTTTAGCTTTTTCCCACTTTTCTTTTAACTTGAAACATTCAACTTTATTGTTCTGCTGTAAAAAATCTAGGGATTTTTTTTTTTTACCTTGAAAGGAACTAATTAAATAGAACCTGCACATTTTTAATCACTTTATTAATGTACATGTAAATTTGTATTCTGATGTGTAAAAATGTATTATTTTTGTGAAAGCCAACAAATGTCAGATATGAATTTTGAATCAGCTGTGAACAGACGCTAATAAAATTAAGATTGAATTTTATCCTTCATTTTCATACTGATAGTTTTTCAATCTTCTGGAAAAACAAAAAGGTTTTACTCCTTCAGACAGATTTATGAACATCAAATAGCCCAACTCCACTAAATTGTAATGGAAAAATATAATTGTTTTTCTTACCTGTAACCGCTGAAGTAAGGCACTACTGCTTTAAAAACGCTGTAAAACTGTCGAGGATTTACAACAGTGTCTCCTTCCCTAACATCCCAAAGACCTGAGAGCACCTGAGAGAAACCTGGCAAAAGAACAATGGAAAAAAGAAGGTATGATTTAAAAAAAAATAAGTATGGAGGACATAAAAAAAAGGTAGAAAATGAGGAAACCCACTGTCCATGAGCTTTGCCTCCTCTTTTGAAAACTTCTCATGCTTGTAAGACTTCAGAAGACAATAGTTGCGCAGGACACAAGTGTGAGACAAACACTGGACCACTGCGTTCAGGAAGCACTGTTGTCCAAACAGAAGGAAAAGAGACGTGAGCCTGGTGCTGCAAAACTTACGGGAGATTTGCATGCCGTCTCTTTGACACTTACTGTATTCCCAATGTTTCTAAGGCCAACTCTTCCACTTCCAACAGTGAGCGGCTCTTTCTACGAATAAGAAGGTATGATAGAAGCTTATATATAAATCTAAAGTGGTGCTGCTGTAGCTGCAGACAGATTATTGTTGTGTGGTTACTGGTATGCCAAGGTTCTATGCTCTATGTAACTAGCTGTCTGCGTTGACCCTGCCATGTTGGCCTGTGTGTAACTTTGGCAGGACAGATTTAGCCTTCTTATCTCATTAGCATAACAAGCGAGGCTAAAAAAAGGGGGTCAGTCTGAGGCTTTATCCTATTAGAGAGTGCAAGGAGTGCTGACAGGTGTGTAAACACGTGTGTGTTGATTAGCATTAATGACATGTTCAGTACAATTTGAGGAGAATGTAAAGGTTTAATGCTTCCTCCGTCCCCCCCCCACCTCATTGTCAGCGACCAGCAGCAGGCCCATCAGGGATGTGTAGAGGACAGACTGGGAGATGTCTGCTGTGTCTCTCTGCAGACCGTTCTGAGAAACCAGGGTCCGACACAGGGCCCCGCAAGAGCCCTCCACGTTCACGCCGCTAGAACCAGGCATTCTGTTCTGCCAGTCAGTCTCCGCTCGAAGATGTGCCGAGGTATCTTATCCCTGATGCGCGTCTGATTAAAGGTCAGCAAGATGTTGAGGGGCGACCCTTCTGATCAGGGAGCAAAGCACAGAGGAGCACACCCCCTGCCTTACCTTGAGAACGACAAGTAACATTTACAGCTGAAAAGACAAAAAGAAAAAAAGAAAAAACTAAAGTTTGCTTTGACAATCCTTCAGAGTCCAATTCTGCATTAAACACATGGAGTGAAACAAGTTCCTAAAAGATTGTTTTTTTTTTTTGTTTTTTTTTTGTACAAGTAAAACCAAGAATTTCTAAATTCAGCTGATTCCCAATGTTAAAATACATAAAAGAAAAAAAAAAGAAAAAAGATTTGGTTATGTAACAGGGATCCAAGCAGTACGGTACGGATCAACCCAACAGCCAATCAATGCGCACCACTTACCGTTTTGTGTAGATAAAGATAGCATCTACGGCAAACAGTTATTTCTACAGAAACGTAACGTGTATAAAAAGAGAGAGCACTTTGGACTCACCTGATCACTTCGGTCTGTATCTTTGAACAAAGAGTCCCAACCAAACTGTTCCCATCATCTGCTGAGCTGTTAAAAATGCATAAAGGGGACGTCTACGGTTTCACCGTGTGTTTGTGGGATAGAACTGAAAGTCTACCTCTCTGCCCTGTCCTGCCACGAGTGTCGGAGAGAAAGAAAGAAAGAGCGAGAGCCAAAGAGAGAGAGAGAGTGAAAAAACAGACACAGGGAGGGAGGATAATCATCTCTAATCTTTTCACTGCAGATCGTGTTGGCTATACATAGACATGTCAATGTGTCCACCCATGAACACCTCAGCAAGTTTTTTTTTTTTTTTCTTTTACTGTCAGTTTTTATTAAAATACAGCCGGTTAAACATTTTGTTGGCGTTTAACATTCACATTCAGAAACAGTAACACTGTTCACAGTCAGCACACTTTATGACAATCACAAAAATAAGGAAAAAGAAAAATAAGGAGAAACTTTTTTTTTTCTTTTGCAATTCTTTGAGTCTTTTAATTAAAACTGTTCATAAAATAGTCCATCTGGTTTCTTTCGCTCTCCAGAAACCCCCTTTCTGCCCTCCAGAAGGGCAACCTGGTGAACGGGTCAGCGACAGGTGTGGTCTGCCATGTCCGTGTCCGAGCTGAGGCTGAGATCCGCTATGTGACACAGCGCGGGGTCTGGGGGGAGAGAGAGCGGCGACTGGCTGGTGTGAGCGGTCCGGTCCCGTGACTGGACGATGGCCTGGCGCAGGCAAGTGATCCACTGCTGCTTGCTGAACGAGTCGTTGGCCTGCAAGCAGTAAGGGTTGACTTTGGAGCGCCCTCTGCTGCTCACACGGAAACAGTTCTTCACTAGAAGGTGACGGAAAGAGGAAGGAAGGAAATTGAGTGAAAACAGTTGTAGGTTTCAGTTCAACTAACAAGAGGGCTAGAACTACTCTGACATTAAGGTCTGCTTCCAGCCTGTGATTCTTCTTTTTCATATATATACAAAAAGCAGACACATGAATATTATAACATGATTTTAATTACTAATTTTTGATCATTTTTGAGGTGATCAATTAAATCGAGATAAATAAGTGTCACCTCTTCTAGTGGTAAACAAAATATTTTGATCTCGGTTATGTATGCACACGTTTTCTCTGTCCTACTGATTGCTTGTCTTATTGTTTTTGAAAACCTGTTTGAAATAAAAAAAAATAATTAATTAGGAACTGAAAATCTGTGTTAAATTCTGATTATTTGATGCATATTTTTTTATGTTTTAATTATTTCATAAATATGAAATGCCAACAGCTTTGTAACCTTTATGGTATTTAATTACCATTTTTATGAAAATGAAATTTTAAACAAAGAAGTTTAGATTCAGGGAGAAAAGAGAACAAAAATATACCTATTTATGCTAAGAACTAAATTGACGTATTCAGAATAGTTTGGCAAGATTGTGAGATTCCACAATTTTTTTTTATTTGTTTATTTAAGTACTGCCATGATCACAACTAAAAAAAAACAAAACTCTGTAGTTTTATTTCCAATCAAATATAAAAAAAAAGCAAATGACCTTTGTCGTTTCCTCCGGTGAACGCTCCTCTGAAGGTTCCTCCCCCTCCGGCCTCACTGTCTGGGATCTCCTCTAAATTGATCAACGTGTTGGGCAGAGGCTGACGGTACACGTTAAACATTTGTCCTCTAATGTCTCTGTCGTCCCCCGGTCTGGTCAGCACCAACGCCAGTTCAAACAGGAATACATGCAGCTTCTGTTGCACGGAAAAGACAGAAGAAATGAAGCGGTTGTGGATAGATGTTACGACTTAGAAATAAAGGCGCCTTCGTGTGAGCTAGCATCAGGGACGCTGCACGCACCTGCCCCTTGTTGGTCTTGAGCTCTCCGTGGCAGTAGAGGAAGCGGGACTGGTGGATCTCTGGTATTCTCTGGCTCTCTTCGAGGTAGATCAGCCCCCGCCGGTAGAACTGACACTCGGCCTCGCCGGTCTTCTTGTTCACCTCGGCCACGATGCTCTGAATCAGCTCCAGCTGTGGTCGACAAAGGACAGAGTAAACGTTTTGCTGGAGCCATTTGTGTCATCAGCAAAGTTTCTCGTCAGGTGCATTTGTGATTATTTTAAGACAAAAAGTAAGAAAAACCCTAAAAAGAGGAAAGATATAATTTGGGTAAATAACATAGTGTTGTTCATATCCCAATTTTCTCTTTTTTTTAAATTTTTTTTATTAATTTCATGTACCAATAGACTCACTAAGATTTTACTTTCAAATCTCAAATGAGGCCACACAGGGTTATTCTTAATTAAATGTGCGGCTTATAATGTTATATTTGAACCATTAAGTTGATCTTCTTTTTAAATACTGCTGATAACCAAAACACCTACATCTCTTCCTAACTCATACATAACAGAACTGACAATGGTTAGAAGAGATTAGATAAGATAACTTCCTCTGCATTATTCTTTTTTTTTGTTTGTTCTCGATGGCAATATAATTCATTTATATGCTCCCTCAATAACAAATAAATCATAAATACATACATCCATGTAATTCTTAATTTGACTACTTTACAAAAAAATCAGTAACAGGGCCAGCTGAGATCAAGTTTAGACATTTTTTCCACCCAAATGTCGTTTCCCCCCCCCTTTTTTTTTTTTTTTTCAAATGCTTTAAATGCTTTGGGACAGAAAAATAAATGTAAAAACTAATACAGGTTGAAAAAACCCATTCAAAAAACAAAGAACTTGTTTTGGGTACGACATCCAACAAATAGTGAGGGTTTCGTAGAGGAAGCAGGACTGGTGGATCTCAGGTATTCTCTGGCGTACAGACGTTTCAGAACGTCTGTACATTATGAAATCATAACGTACAGTCAGATCTCAAGCCAGCACTCCAGATCTACTCAGTTCAGCACTCTAAGGCCACAGGTCAGAGCAACTCACAGCATCAGGCAGCGTGTCCTCGTCTGGGTGGTCTGGAGGCGTGCACTTCTGTATCTCCTTCAACAGCAGAGGGTATTTGACCAGCCGGCTTCTGGGAAGGTCCAGAAAGTTCCACAAGTCCAATTTCCTACTAAACGAAGACTCCTGACACAGGCGCAGGAAATGCTCGACTCTTTTCTCCTGCTTCTTCTGGTCGAGCAGAGCTTTGGCTCCCACCTGGTTGCAGCAGTATGTGACGTAGGCTTCCAGGCAGGGGAACTGCAGGGGGGGGGACGAGACGGAGTGTGAAGCGGGGAAAAAAAAAGAATGTGCGCAGAACGCCGGCTGTTGTGCCCCCTTCGTCTTTCTTCTCTTGCAGCAGCGGGTTGCCGTGAAAACACTCACCCAGTCATGCAGAGTCGGCCCCACTTCTCCCACCGTCTTCTCTGAGCCCCTCAGTCGCTCAAGACGAGCCAAAAGATCTGGTGTGAAATAGCCAAAAAAAACACATTCAACCTAAAAGGACACAACTTAAAAAACACACAAAAAAAAACATCCTGAAGGCCAAAATGGAAAATTTTATCTGCTATGATAAAAAAAAAAAAAAAAATCAATACATCCATCAGTATTATACAGAAATAATGGGCTAAAAGAAGCACATTTGCTGCCTCTTATTTACTTGGAACCAACAACTTTTATTGTGTGTAGATGATCAGGAAATGATGCATTCTGAAATATTTTTAGTCACTGAGATTAAGCTACAAGTAGGCAAAGAGTTCATATCATTTACCCTCATGCAGTGGAATCAGGGAGTCTAAAGTCCCGAAGATTTGTCCGAGCTCACTTTCTGTCAATATATCCAACTTCAACATGGGCTCGTAGTACACCTAAAAGCATAAGAACGCACTGAAACTGAGAAAAAGCCAGCAAGTGTAGATTTTTTTTTTCCTGCACTCTTTTTACCTTCTTGACCAAACTGAGGTCTTCTATGAGTTGCCTCTCTCCCTGCGTCAGCTCGTAGATCACCTGCAGAGGACAAAGACGTTGCACACAGCAACTTTAGACGTGTCAATGGAAATAAAGACAATTTCCGCACAATGCTGCATGGGATGTAAACTAAGCGGAAACCCTGCATGAGCTCTCACAGCTGATTGTTTAATAACGGAAGTTGAGCCGCTTAGTGCCAGCTCACATCCTCTTTCCTAATACCCGTGCAGGGCAGCTTCAGAGAAACAGTGCAAGCTAGTCATCCCACCCACACTGCGACCGCAGCCTCACAGCCCGTCCACAGAAACCCCGCCTCCCCGAGTAGAAAAAAAAAAAAAAAAAAAAAAAAAAAAAAAAACATCTTAATGATGACAAAAAATAAATAAATAAAAATAAAAATTTTGTAATAAAATCATAAAATTCACACCTCCTGGCGTTTGATTTCCTTTGCAGTCAGGTCATGGCTCTCCACAGTGTCACTCCAACACTGGCTGTTGCGCCTACGTGGAAACGACGAGGCTTTGGAGCGAGGGCGCAGGGGTCCCGGGAGCAAAGGTCGGGCGTCGGTGCGAAAGCTGATGGAGCGCTGCGAAGAGAGAGGACATCAGGTCACATTATGGTCATTACGAGGTACAAAAATATTCCACAGGACGTGTGTGTGTGTGTGTGTGTTACCGAAATAGACTGCCCGATGCGTTTAAGAGCAGCAGTCTTCACTGGTGTTATGACACCTGTCAGGCTGTTGGACTTTGTCACGGGTTTGACCTTTTTGTTACTGGGCTCCTGAAACAGATCAATGGTAGAAGTTAAAGAGCAAAATACACAAAAAAATTTTAAAAAACTTATAGAGTTAGTCAAGAAACAGTTCAAAATGAGAAGACGAAAAAAACTTCAGTCAAACCTCTGAATCCTTGTGATCAGACATCATTTCCCCTTCTTCCTCTTCCTCCTCATCCTGATGGCCAGAAAAAAATATTGAGAGGTGAAGGCGACATGAAAGAGAGAAAGACGTTAAAAAGCGCTGAGATGTTGCACGGTGCACATCTCTCATTTCCTGTGCAAGGTTTTCAAAGAGGAAGAAAGTTGAAACTGTGCCTCAATAGTGAAGCACAACATGTCTGCTGCCTTTTTTTTTTTTCTTTTTACCCCACTAACCACAGCTGCTGCAAATTTATTGTGGCAATAATTGAATTAAAGTTGAAATGAAAACAGAATGCAAATATATGACATTCATTAAATGAAAGCAAGCACACCAGCATCTTTCTGAAATCCCAGTAGACTCAATACAAGATCTTATGGGGAAAAAACAAAACAAGAAACTACCCTTAAAATCAGCATCTCACATAATGTTCACCTCTTGTGTCAGTTCTGCACTCAGCATTGTGGTCACAAAGGTAAAGGTTGACAGGCTTCCGCCAGTTACTGAGAAAAGCAAGAGATATGACAGCGCGCAGCATTTCAGATTATTACTCACCTCCATGATTCTGATGACTGGTTCAGGAATCAGGTCTTGTTTTCGCTTCTTCTAAAAGCAGACATTTTGCAGAAAATTAATGTGCACTGCATTTCAGACTTTGGGTGATAAATGCATGCTTCATTGAGGGGATAAGATTGCTTACCCCAGCATGGTCACAGAGGACAAAGCGAGTGTCTCCTGACCCCGACCTAAAAAGAGGGGGGAAAAAAAAAAATCCTAGTCACAAATCATTCAGATGGATTTTAATGTACTCTAAACACAGTGCTTATTGCTTTACAGAATTTAAGCTGCAGGTTATGCACCACTGCATTATGACATGGAGGGATTTCAGTTGTCGGTGTGGTGAACGGAAACATGAAGCATAACTTTAGTCAGTGTTCAAAACAAGAAAAAGATAACTTTTTCTTTTAAATCCTCCAACGAATCTGATGATCAGTCTCACATTTAAAACAAACAAAAAAAAAAAAACAACCACTAAAGCAAAGTCAGAACAGTGCATTTCTAAAGCTACCATACCAGGAAGTCCTCATTTCACCAGTCTCCTCCACTTCCATCTTCTTCCTTCTCTCAGTGCATCTTCACAGAAATTAACGGCTCCGCTCTCAAAGTGAGAAATAATCCAGCCTGCGACGGTCTCCTCCGTTCGGCCAGCCACCGAGCAGTTTGCGTCGAGCTGGTTTAAAGTTCGGCGTACTCCTTCCTCCTCACCTTCTTCCTCATCTCGCAGCAGACCACATCCTTTACTGTTGCGCATAATCACGTATCCGCTCTTCTCAGGGAGGAGCGTTCAGAGCTTCACGTTAAAACCTCTCGGTCCAACCTGAACGTTGGGCTGTTCTAGATTTTATTTAAAAGCTGCTTTGCGGTAGACTAAAATACTACTTTAGAAACTATTTGAGCCAAAAGGGGAAGTGAAATTACATTTTTTTCCTGCTCTAAATTGACTAGTTTACTTGCATATAGGAAAAGAAAAAAATTACAAACAGTTGTTATATATTTGATAAAACTCAATCTGTTTTGGGATTTTCCTCTGAATTCAGAGGTCGGTGATAAGCTGATGGAGGCAGAGTTTCCCAGAAATGCTGCTCTGTAATGAAACCTGATCACCCCAAACCAGGTCAGACAGGAAAACGCATGAATCTGATTCTGTGACACTCATGTGCTTCAAAATCCTCAAACACCAACAACACTCAAGACACACAAGCACAATTTTGTCACACGAAAATAAAAACCACTCACTCTAATGCATGTTTTACATGTTTATTCACTATCACACTAAGTGCTCCCATATCAAGATACATCTCATTGCCTTGCTCTTATTTCGGTTTTTATCATTTGGAGTTAACAAAATAGAAACAAGTGTTATGAACTACCAGATGTGTGCCAAATCTTTTTTTTTTTAATATCCCCCTCCCCAAAAATAAAATACAACAAAAACACAAGAAATAATGAGAAATAAAGGGGAAAAAAATATATATATGTCATGTGCAAGAGCCCCTCGGAGAGTGCTGTGGTGAGGGAGGTAGGGGTGCCTCGGACTGGGAAGAGCATTCTGCCAGTGTGATACCATTGGGTTTCCAGTCAGAAAATATCTACATGGTCGTTCTTTGTTTTCTCGGGTAGCTTGGTTTTAATTAATGAAATGGAAATCATAAAAAAAAAAAAGGTACTTTGAAATTTAACTTGTGATGTGTACAAGGTAAGACGAGACGAGGGTTTCGATGACTAAAGAGAGCGAGTAGAGTGGAGGGAAGGTAGCTGGGTTGGATTAAAATGACCCTCAGTTACTGTGAGGATGTTCGTTTACGCAGGGACTCGTGTGGGGCTTATTGATCTGTAGAGGTACTACAACTGAGGAGCATCAGGATGTCCAGTATACGTGCTCCCTTCCTTCAATTACACCCCCGTCCCCCACATAGAGCGGCAACTGGATCCCCAACTCTTACTGGTCTCCTTTAGTCAGCTTACTGGGGCTATGTACAGTCAGGCACAGGTTTACGCAAAAACCCCAGGCCCACAAAAAAGAAAACGAGAAAACAGAAAAAAAAAAAAAAACCTGATTGATCCAGTAGAGCAGACTTGGATCAAGCTACCCACTTCAGAATAGTCCCCTTTTTGCTCCCCTCCCCCCACATCTGCCTCCCTCTGGTGGGTGGGCTCAGTTTGGAGCTCAGCGGATGGTGTATCTGACATAGGGCACTTCCACGTCTTCATCAGACAGGTCGTTACAGCACAGCTCAAACACCAGGGCCTTCACGTGTTTGCCCAGCTTCTTTTTGGACACCTTAGTCACAATCTCAGTCATTCTGCAAAACACAGGAGAAACGAGACTCAGCCAATAAATTAAAAAGAAAACCGCTACTAAATATCAATGCATTACTATGTGTACAGCACTCTGAACAACCATTATTATGGCGTATTATTTTGTTACTGTGCTGCTGCAACAAGTGAATTTCTACTCTATTCTAACCCTCAGGTTGGTATTATCCTTATGATTGTGCATACCACAACATTTTAGTATTAGACATTCTAGACCAATTGTCTTATGTAGCGTTCCGAAGCAGAACAACCCTTAAAATAAGATTGTCGCTGTGTTAAGTATTTGTACTCGTTACTGTATTTGTACACTCAAAGTTTATACTCACGGTAGGTCCAGTCTCTCTTTAAGTTTGGCAGCAGGCATGAAAAATGAATACAGCATGGACACTCCCTGAGATAGCATGGTGATCTCCAACTTATGCTCATTCTGACAAACAAAACGGGGGGAAAAAAAAGAAGAAGCAGGGATTAATTATAGGCAACAAAAAACAAACATGGATAAAAGGAGCTGAACCTACTTTAAAGTAGTCAAGGAATTGTCGGAGTGTCATTTCTTCCCCGTTGGACTGCAGCCCTTTGACCTCGAAGCGATCCCAGAGAGTCCAGTCGATCTCGTAGTACTGCAAATAAACCAGCAAGAGTAAAAGCTGCGTCAGTTATCTGCTCCATGCATCTCTACCTGCAGTGTAGAGATGCAGGTTTGTCCAGATAAAGAAACATTTCTCCTCAGCACACACTGATACCGTCAGCGTGAGAAGGTAAGTTGAACTCACTTACATCCAAGCAGACTGCCTAATGTATCAGTATTAGCATGGCTGGATCATCATTGGAGCTTCACAGTGCGATGGCAGGCAATCGCTAGGCTTACAATACATTTTGTGTGTGTTGAGACTCAGACAGAATACACACGCGCTTACCTTGTGTCTGGGAGCGGCGATGGGCTCAGAGAAGGCAAAGAAAGGTAGGGCTAAGTTCATGAAGCCATTTTTGAACGAATCCAGTTTTTTATGCCCTTGGATGATCTTGAAGAGCTCCAAGCACACCAAGCCAACCACTGCAGCTGTAGTCGTGGCGATGGCAGGAATGATCTTGCCAGCAATCAGTTTGCTCTAGATTGGACAGAAACAAATGTACACATTAAAAAAAAAAAAAAGAGAGAAATCTTATACAATTACACAGAAACCCAGGAATTTGTAACCCAGAAAAGAAAACGGTTGACAAAAGTGTGAAACACTGATCCATCATCAACACAATCAAGTACGATTTGATCTAAGAGACGAGGAGGTAATCAAAGCAACAATAATCCAAGGACCAACGTTTCCCACCTTGTGCCTGTCGGCAGGTGGAATGTCGTAGTTCTCCGCTCTCAGATTGGAGGCTGCCACGATGAAATCCATGTGAAAGTTTGCATCGTCATCCTGTGGACAGACAAACACAAATCTGGTTACTGAAGGTAAATGGCACCGATTTGTAAACCTGTCACAATAAATGACTCCATGGTTACTTAAAATGATCTAGAAAATTTCCATCTTATTTTTTGAAGGGCAATTTTTTTTAAACAGATTTTATAATCATTTAAGGTTTCTGTTGTGTTTTTTTTTTTTTATTTATAGTTTATGGTCATTGTGTTTTAGATATTTAAAATGTCCAATTCCAGTGAGGAGTATCATTTACAAAATGTAAGGTTGTGTTTGAGAGGCAAACTTGCATTATTGAACCATTATCAATGTATTACTTAAATGGTCACAAAAACAACAATATTATGGTTTATCAGAATAATTTATGGGACATTTTATCCTCCAGTAGTTTGTCGTTGTGGCAGGTCTAGTGGTTCATATTCATTGAAACTTGTTGTCCTCTGCAATCCCAACAATGAGATGTTTTTCCACTTTACAACCTTTCAGTTAATAGAACTGAGATAAAAACTGGGCACTTTCTGTAGTATTCCAAAAAGCTTAAAAGAGAAAACAAACCAACTCATCTTATTTGTCAAAATTTCCACAGACTATATTTTTAAACAACTTGTGCACCCAATCTGTCACAGCTGGAACAGCCGCCAATAAACCATTCTTAATTTCCATATTTTAAAAGAGCATTTTCCTTTAATCCCATAGCTTCTCCTATTAACCTAGCCCGTGATATATAAGATATTAAACACGAAATTGCAAAATTGCAAACTTCTTCACAGGCAGTTTATTCGGACAGAACAGATCCCAGGATGAAGTACCTTTTCAAAGTCGATGGGGCTGAGTTTGAACCGGAACGACTCTGGCGTAGGCAGCTGAGACTTCAGTTCTTCCAGTTTGGAGTCATCTGTGTGTCAAGAGATTTCACTCAGAACTCCGAAAGCATTCAGAGATACATGACATGTCTTTAAATTATTGTTAAAAAAAACAACAACAAAAAAACAACTTTTATTTGAAACTACATTAGCTTAAAGTAAAGACTGACTGAAGCCGGTCTTTAATCAAGTTTGCACAGCTTACCAACAGAGGAATTGCTATTTTGCAGCTCCTGATCAGAGACGTGGATTTTAACCCCGGAGCGAGGGGTAAAAGTTGGCACTTTGACATCCTGCAAGATCTTGACCACACCTGCTCGGTCAGTGCTGCCTGGCAGGCCATACGTCTGGGCGAACAGGTTTGCAGCTGCCAATACATAATCCACGTGGAGGTCCTTTAAAAAAAAAAAAAAAGAAATTAATACCTTCTTCGCAAAGAAAAATTTAAATCTTATAATCTAAGAAGCAGAGATCCTGAAAATCCTCCTTACATTGCTCGTGCTGAAATCTAAGGGGTGAGGACATCTCTTTGGACCAGACCAGAAGGGGGCGCCTGAGCTGGTGAGCTGAGACGGACGAGGAGCAGAATGAGTACAAACAGAACACTCATTTACAGATACATCTCTGAATTATTATATTGTGGAAAAGTTCAATATTTTTGTCACTTATTTCAGAGAGTTAAACTTTATTATACAAATCCAAGTATTTATTGCAAGTTTGATGGCTCTGGCTTATGGATGAGGGAAACTCGAAATTCTGTCTCAGAAAATATTGGGAACATTGTGAAAAAGTCAAAACGCTGGAAACTCATGGAGTCGCACCCTAATCAGCAAATTAACTCAAAACACCTGCAAAGGCCTCTAAATGGTCTCACTCTGTCACAAGGCGACAGTCACTGGGCAGACTGCTGTCAACAGAATCGGAGAGGAGGGTAAGCTACAACAGGTCATTACTAAAGAATATGGAGGCTCTCCCACAGAGGTGCACAAATATAATCACAAAATGGAAGGAAAAAAGTGCAGTAGAAGAAACTACAAAAGCCACAGGAATAACCTGTAGAGGATTGACCTGACGTGTGAAGAGACACGAGAAGCAAAAATGAAGATGACTTGACAGCCGCTATCAAAACAATCTGGGCTTCTTGAACAATTCAGCAGAACCACAGACAGATCGCCTCCGTGCCTCGCTGCACTGACGCAGTAAATCACGCAAACGGAGGCCCGACCAAATAGAGAGGACGTAGAAATGAGAACAGGAAATCAATTTTGGAAATGTTATGAGAAATTCTAGTTTTCTGAGTTTTGCTTTTATCATCTAGAAGCCATAGTTATCAAAATTACAAGAAATAAAGGCTTGAAGTATTTCACACCAACTAATGAATCATTTGTGATTCGTTTCACTTTGTAACAAGAGTAAGAATATTGGAAATGTGCCACAATGTCCACATTTTTGAAGATGTATCGATACAAAAAATGACATTCTGACAACAGGAAAGACTCCACTAACCTAAAGTCTCTCAGTTAATGAATATACATGTGTGAACCGTTGTGTTACGGTAGTTGACTGATCTGTAACTTCCACCATGTTGTGTAAGCAATATAGTTTTTTTTTTTTTTAATCCAGTGTAGACAGACTTATTTGTACCTGATCTGGGGGGAAGTTGTGCAATAGCTGACGGATGTTGTTGCTGTACTGGCACTGCCAGTGATTGCGAGCCCAGGCCACGCAGTCAGCCCAGCTGTGCGGGCAGTCTGTAACAACACTCTTGTACACGGCGTCCAGCACCTCGACAGGCTGAGCTCCTGGAAGCTTCAGAGTTCGCTCCATGAACTTAGAATCTCTATGAGATTGGAGAGATCACAAGACATGTCAAACACTGGCTACGGTTTGATCGTTTAGCGTCGACATTTGCCGATGTCGGAAGTGCGTCCAACTCACGTGAGGTACTGCATGGCATTTTCTGGTGCCTGTTTGAAGAGCCCCTCAAACTCGTCTCGGGCCCACTAGCGGGAAGATCAGAAATAAGCAGAGTTCAATAAAACAAGTGTGCAGTTTAAGAAAATTAAAAAAATGTGTGGAAGTACAGCAGCATGTACTTTTGAATAACACCATGACAACTGATGGTGAACGCCAACTACCTCACAGTCATTGCAGCCGTTGGAGGGTGAGGAAAATTCAGGCAGCGAGTGAACATTTGTCTCAAGGTTGTCATGTTGGAAGGACAAGTTTAAGACAAGACCCAAATTATACGGTCTGATCCAACATAAGAACAATTTTGGTTTAAAATGCTGAAATAGTTGAAGATGGTTCAAAGCAAAATGTCAAATATACGCAGTAATAGTTTTGCAATAAAATATATTTTAATGTACAAATAGCTAAAAGTATGTTCAGAGGGTATTTTGGTAAATACTCCAGATTTTGCATTGGATTCCAAAGCATCCAATACAATTTAAGGCTTTTTTGACAGATTTGTTCCCCAAAAATCTTGATTTCTAAAAAACAAATTAAATGTTCTAAATTAAAGCAAAATTAAGACATTTGTTTTCTGCTGCACATTACTAAATAAATAAATAAATTAAAAAAAACCTATTACCATGACTTCTTATCTGTATTTTTCCAAATAAGTAGTCATAGGACAGTAACCGGTAACCAGGGTTACCTTTCTTCCCAAAAAGTTATCAAATGACCCATCCCTGAATATCACAGGATATCTGAAGGAACGTCTGTCATACGTGTTGCTTATTTTATATGTGAACTTTAGCGATAATACAATTAGTTATACTGTAGCGACAAAATGGTTAAACTACCGTACTATAAGGGCAACCAGCAAACTGAAAACAGTATGGGGATGTAGAATTATAAGAGGAAAAGAAAAAATACCCAAGATTCACCAGGCAATATTTTGACCAAGCAGATTTATCTGCATTTAGGATCGTTTTGGTTTGCCATGACTCTGGAAGTGGGTAAAAACACAAACCTGGAAAAGCCACTGCCCTTGTGCCTTCAGTTTACCCAAACCGCTAATTATGCCAAGTCAAATGAAAGGGGTGAGTCAGAGTACCAAGAGCGTATGTGACTAATCGCTGGATACAGAACATTGGTTGTGTAAGTGCTCCAGTGAGTTTCCCTACTGTGGCAAAGTTAGCCAGGAAACATCTGTGTAATCCCTGGAGCAGTGAGCTAAACTGACAGAGCCTTCAGTACACAGAGGAACGCCAGTCTGAATTCAACAAGAGGCAAAGTGTGGGCTAGTGTCCCACTGTAAGGTTTGTGACATCTTGGCAAAATGAACTCAACAAAAAGCAATATAGTAATAGTGATTTTTAAGGTCACAGGTGAAAACATTTGGCATAAAATTGAAAGTGGACCGCATTTTGCTCCGAGAAACAAAATCAATCTAGACTTTTCCTCAAGTTTCAGTGTGTTCAATTTAAGATTTAAGAGTTGTAAATTAAATTAAAGCAAAATTAAGACACATTCATACTCCATTTACTCAGGAACTTAGGTATTTAAAAGGTAACGTTATCTCTGGCATGTGAAATCAAAAATCATATTTTTTTCACGTTACAGAAATGGATAAATATAAGATGACAAAAAGGTCAATGGATGCAAGATCTGGACACGTTTAAGGCCTAAAATTACAGCATTAACAACATTAAGCCACGTTGATGCACAGCAGCAATCTCTCAGCAAAACAAAGGCAATACTGTCACATCCATTGAAATTGGCAAATATCCTGAAAATCAGCAACAGATTTTTCATCCCATTGCGTTTCTGTCCAACCTGAGCACATTAGTAGGTGTACATACCTGCAGTGTGTGTTCAATTGCATTTGGAAAGTTCTTCAGGGTACAGATAGGGATGGACTTCTCAGGCGGGTCTTGGCTGGAGCTGTACGACTCTGTGACAAAGGGGATCACGACCTGGATGTTTCCTTTCGTGCCCAAAGTACCCGACTCCAGCAGGGGTTTCCGATAGTAAACACACCGCCGATCCATGTACATACCTGAGCATTGGGAAAACGAGACAACTTACTGGAGAGAAATCTTTAAGGCTCAATTAGATGTTCTCACCAGGATGTGCAAACTCGCCACCTAACATTTAAATGTCACCAACTTACGTGCATCGACATTGTCCAGTGCATTAGCGACCCCATTTAGACTTTCGAAGAAGTCGTCATCGTAGACCCTCTCCGTCTCCGGACCAACTCTGTTCTGATGAGCCGTGATCTTGAAGGAGGGGTTCATCTGCTTCACTGCAGCAGCAGCTGTGTCACTCTTCATTTTCTGTAATGGTGATTTTTGAGTAAGTGGAGGAGGCCATGATGTTCTAAAAGAGTGTCCTATTCTAATAATCAATCAATGCTTTTAAACAACAAAAAACAAGATTGGTATAAAGCAGCGGAAACACCTGCACAGTACTTCTAACTCCTCTTTATCATACAGAACTTCACTCAAGCACTGTGTATCCAAGACAAATGAACAACATGCGTTTGTTTCGTCCAATAATCAAAGCGGATGAGACTGACCGTGACATCAGAGGGTCTGAAGAGAAACTGTCTGTTGAGGTTGGATTTCTCTATGGTGTCCATGTCAGTCACGATAACCTCACCCTCCTCACTGGCCAGACCAATCATGGCAAAGTTTTTCAACAATTCGCAGCCGATGGCTCCGGCTCCAACCTGGAAGGATTTCATGTTATGCATGGAATGAAGCTGAAGGACTGGATCTGGTTTTATAACGGACACTTCCCACATACAAGCCCCGTCTGACAAAGTAACAATCAAGCCAGAAATTGTTGACAATGTTTGGTACCAATATTTTTAGAGACTGTGACAGTAATGTGAACAATTATACTTTGTAAAAACAATCAAAACATGTTCAATTGTTGCTGATTAAATCCTGGTTTGGAACAGCACAGAAAAATATTCTGCTAGATTTGTAATTTTTTTAACGCCATGATTAGTTATTTCTAATCTTTCTATGCATATATAAAATAAAATGCAAACAGATTTAAATCCTAGGCCTCTTAAAAACATGATGATTTGGAAAGAAGAAGTTAGGAGTTCTGTCACTCATTTACTCACCAGGAAGTAGCGCTGGTCGGCAAGGATTTTCTGCAGTTTACTGCCGAACACTGCAATCTGCCCGTCGTACCGACAATTCCTCTGCGAGATGCACAAAAGAATATTATTTATTCATATGTTTTCGCTCTACAAAGATGACATTTGTGTTTGATCTACTCTGGAAACCTACAGGGCTGCACTCTTCCTCTGTGAGCATAACCTCTTCTCCTTCAGAAAGGCACTCCAGCGCATCAAAGTACAACCACTGCATTACAGGCATAAATTTCCCTGTGGATGCCTGATGAGAGAAAATAAATAAATAAATCTAAACTGTTAATCTTAAAAAGAAAAACAACAACAAAAAAAAACACTTCAGACAAACGTTTTCAGTTTACATGAGACATTCCACCAACCTTCATCACTTCCTGTGCAGCCACTCCACCAATGAAGGCATTGATGGGGGAAAGATCACCAGCAGCAAGATAAGACATCTTTTTGATAAGAGCCTCATCCAGCTGCTCCACTTTGGCTGACCCTGTCTGGGCAGAGTTCAGTTCTTTGGCCAGAGTCAACAGCTCCTCACCATCAGCCTGGAGAAAACACAAAACTCAGCACTTCCAATAAGTTGCTTTGCTATGCTATTTTATGTGTAAATCTGCCCTATTTAGATACATTTGGGATCAGATTAACCTGGGTGTCACTGAAACTAACCTGACTGGATTGTACTGGTAAAACTTACATTTTGTGCATCTGAAATTCAAAATAAACTAGACTTGTTTCTTTTCTCATTGCCTTTACATGGCATCTATTATGTCTTTGAATGACATAAATAAATTTAATTTTAGACTTGGCAATTAAGATTCAAGCCTTTAGACTAAGCAGAAGAGCAAGTACCAACATAACGTTCAAGTAAACAGGTCTAACAGGAAAATGAAAATGATGCACACCTGGCTCCAAGGTGTAGGGAGGCGATTGTGCTTCTGCTTGAAAGCATGGATGGCCTGAAAGCCTATGTGTAGTTGTCCGGGACGATCGAACTTGGCAAAATCTGTCATCATGAAGTCTGGTTCTGCCATGGAGGACGACAAGGATTTCTGTACGGGAATGACATGAATATTAGTGATACAAGCTTCATTTATAATGATTTTCCAGTAGGGGGAGGATAGTAGCTGCAGAATTCTGTTTTAAGAAGTTCTGTTGATCACTTGGCATAATAAAACAAGACAACCAAGGGACGTAAAATATTTTGACATAGTTTTCCTTTTAAGTCATTTTTTTTAAGGGGAAATAACTTACAAAACTGATCTTCTTGGGCATCTTAACCTGAGAGACGATTCCTCCTCTGACATAATCTGAAAAGCCGGTTGTGTCGCAGATACTGAAAGTGTACGGGCCTAGGAGAAAAGCAAACCCTGTCAACTTTGGAAAAGTCAAACAGACCATCACTATAAATGACCATTAAAAACTCTCACCGAGAACTTTAATCTCCACGGGCTGGCAGCCATTTAGATCCGTCATGCCCTGAATCTCAGTGAAGGTCACATAATCTCCACTTTCAAAGCCATGGCGAGCCTCGTCAAGACAAGTTACCACACCTGGATTGTCCTGAAGGGGAGAAAAAAACAACAATACATTTCAGTATATTTTAAACATTGAGAACTTAACTCAATGTTACAAGCAAACAAACCTTGGTGATCATGGAAATCATTGCACTCAGTGGCTGCTCTCCGTTGGTGTCATACACTATCATCTCCTCTCCAAAGTCACAGAAAAGTTGGCTACAAAAAAAATAAATAAATACAAATTGAGTGTTCATACGTTGAAAGATTAAAAAGGTCAGGTTGTTCACTTGGCAGTGACCCCTAAAGTACATGTCAATCTTACCCAAACAGACCACGCGTGTCTGCAACAACCAGCTTGACTCCTTTGCTGTGGCACAAGTCTCCCAAATGCTTCTGCTCATCTAGGTTGGAGTTAGTAAGCACCACCACCTGGATTCAAACACAAATTAATACAAACTTTTCTCTTGGGGCAAAACAGGCGACAAAAAGGCTTGGTTTAAGGCTGTTCATACCTGGAACTTGGTAAGGTAGTCCTCGGTGAGCGCTCCAGTATACGCTGTCACAGGAACGTAGTTGTTGAGTTCAGCCAAACGAGGCTGACTCACCTCGGCTCTGTTCTTTCCCAGGTCCTCTTCACGAAGGTAAAACTAACCAGAAGAATAAAATATTAGATAAAAAAACAAAAAAAAAACAACTCAGGGACAGCTGGTGAACCTAAAAAAGTTTACAACTTTTAAACTCTTGGACACGTTTTACCCAATCAATAGCAGATTACAACTCAAACATGCTCAGCAAAGCACATATTAAGAGTAAGTTCATGAAGAGTAGATACAGTTCCTGTATGCAAAATGTTTACAAAATTAAACATTTGTAACTGTTGAGACAGATATCGGTTAATGATGATCCCACTAATATATAAAGCTGTCTAATGTCTAATCCATCATTGACTCTCACATTTTGGTCATAATCCTGAAAATTATGGAAAACCACAATCAAATTAGCTGAACATAGCTTTGCACAAAAAACTTATATCCTGTAAATCCTCCACAGATGAAGAAACAGGATCCTTCCTCCTTTTGGGAGTTGCTGTAAACCCAAGTCCAACATGGGAAAGACAGATAAACTACATTGACATATTGATAAATCTGAGGTGTTGGTTTATAAATCAAAGTAGTAACAAAATTCAACCAAAAGAGATTAACGCACATCAGGTAGCAGGGGAAAGACAGCACTCACTGGATCTAATTTGATTATTGTGACAAACATCCCTATTACCATACTACAGAAATAAAAATCTGTTTAACTGCTGCAGCCTAATTTTTTCACCCATCAATTTGGTTAAGAAGCTTGAAAGCATAATTTGTCTTAACTGAAACTGTAATATTTTTGTACAACCCATTAAAAAAATGAACAGAAAATATCTAAGAGTGAGGAAGAATGCAGCGGCATACAGACTAAAACTGCCCGCAGGAAATGTGTGGTAAAACCAGCTGTAGCTTCAGTTGTCTGATAAACAGACATCATTTCATTAAACTTGTCAGTTTCATTTTAGAAATGTGTTATTTTGTCAAATTGTGACAACAGGATATCTTCTGCATACTATAAAGTCTGTTTTAAAAGGACATCTGAAACAGTTTTAGTTGGAGGTGAACTGAAATGTTCTAAACAAAAAATACAGTAAAATTAAGCTTTAAGAGAGTTAAAAAAATATATATATATATATATATATATATATATATATATATATAGATGCACATTGATTTTCAAGTTAAACGATTTCTGATTACAATAATTGTATTATTGTAAATTCATAACCTTAAGGAAGGATGTATGAGAAGTGGGACTGTTTAATATACTTCAATGTAGAAAAGAATGTTTTTTAAATTCATGTCCTAATCAAGTATTAACATATGAACCATTCAAATATATACAACCTAAATACAAGCAAGTTCATGTCATTGACACAAGGAAAACACGTCTCATATTCTCATATTGCTGAATGTATTTCTACAGCCTGTTCAATTAGCCAGCCAACAGCTGCTGGATCAATACAATTAGAGGCTTTGCCTGTATGCTGGTTATAACACAGACAGAGACTGTAATAAATCTGCGTCAGCAAATGGGTTGCTAAAGTGGAGGCCGTTATAGTTGGAAGGCAACCACAAAACAACCGACTCAAAAACACGCAAGCTGTCCTCCAGAGGTTGGCCATTAAATAAATCTGACTAAGATGCAAATATACCAATTTAAAAAGTAACTAGCGATTTCATACATTAGTGAAATTTAACAAAAGTACAAAAATATCTGTGCATTCTCCACATACCTGGGAAGAGAGATCTCGCCATTCTGCATCTCCTTGGTCATGCACAGTGACACTTCGAACTCCTCCCAAGATGACATTCTTTGCGATCTCTACTCCAAGTCCTCTCATTCCAGAAATGAGGACATTGGAGTTCTGCATGCGCTTCATTGCTTCATGGCCCAGCACATATCTGGAGGAGGAGTCCGACGACATTTAGTAAATCAGAACAAAAGCCAAAGCAAAAAAAATAAAAAATACAAACTATGCATGTATAGCAGGATGACTTACAGTTGTCTGGAGTACAGGCCTTCATCAATCTCAGCATCATTGCCATTCTTAGCCATGCCCTGTGAAGAGACAGCAGCGAGCAAATTCAGTATATGTGAAAATGAAGAGTCGATTGAAAAGTTAATTTATTTGCACTTACGTTTGCAGGTGTATGGGACAGATCAGTTCTGACAGAGTTAGAGGAGGAGCAGTGGGATCCCGTCTTCGTCTCTGTTCCTGACAAGCGACGCTTCTTGGACAGCGGCGAGCTGGACATCTGTGTCAAAGTGCAAATACTATTCACTCCCAAATATCTCTTACAGCAAGAGCACCTGAAATTGTAACTTAAGACATTAATATCTGATAAGCAACATTATTTTTTCTATTTTTAAACTGAACAAAACTTCATTTGAAATCTTAACATTAAACCTATTATACTCGAGTTGCAATGCTGCCATCAAAACACAATAAAAGCAAAGGAATATATAACAATATTCATAATTTATAATGACGGTTTCTTTGTTGTGTCTTTAAGTTGAGGAAAGAGGAAATTTAGCCTCCAGAGCAGCTGGGCTGGCTGCAGGCCAAGCAACAAACTGATGGAAAAAACGAACTGAGCCCGAGAAGACACATGAATAGCAGCATTATGTGTTCTTTCATGCAGGGAAAGAACACCAATTTGTTTATGTGCCTCTATTGTTCATTATGTGGCTTTTTTAAGGACTGCTAGCATCACCACAACAAAAACAGCTGAATCATTAAAAGTTCACTGCAGTAAAAAAAAAAGAAAAGAAAAAAAGGTGCAATCCACACTTATTCACCAGTAATGTCCTGCACCAAATGCATTCAGATAACAGCCCTCACAGCTATAACATTTAAAAACAATAGTAAAGCTATTTTGATAAATGAAATAATCCAGAAACAAATCTGTCACATGGGACATAAAAAAAGGCCGCAGTATCTAACACAGTGACCTCACACTCAACATTATCGGCCACTATTTCCGCATTAAATGCAACCGTCTTACCTTCGCCCCCCTGAGTCAGACTAAACGCCTTGGTTACTTCTATCAAACTTTGGAATAATCAGGCTGCCAAAAATCACCAAACAGTTATAAAATATTTATTTTGTAACCTAAAAGTGAAAGCTACTGGCATGATACAGCAGAACCACCCGGCTAATACAGTAGTTTCAGACCCTCATACAAGAAAAGAGCTTAGCTACTAGCAATCGATTTAAAGCTCCAAAAATATATATAATCGAGTGTGAGTAGACACCAGCAAAATACGAGTGATTAGATAAGTTCAGAGTCACTAATCAGTTAAGTGGTTTGGCAGGTGGACAAAGACGTAACATTAATAACTTAGAAGCAAGAAAACACCAGCCTCCCTGCCCATCCATTAGCCGCTCGGCCTAGGCCTGCACTCTCCACAGTGCGGAACACAACTTTACCAGCTAGCAGCTGCGATATTAACCGACGAACGGGTTTATTTGACAGCTAACTACCAAAGCTCATTTTCTGTTGAGGCGCAATGCAAGTTGACATTCTCTTTACAGCTCTCAATTAAAAAGAGAAATCACACGAACGGAAAAACAAGCCACTAGACTCGTGCTTCATTGATTTATCTGCTCTTACCAATATTTCTTCCCGTTCCCTTCCCTACGCGAACCCGCTCCTCTCCCGCAATGTGTAGATGTCAGCGATAACGATGAATGCAAATTCGACGGTCGGTACCAAAAAAGAAAGGGTGGTGTGGGAAAAGGATGGTCGGCGCTATATTGTCGAGTCACTATGCCGTTGAGCCGAAAGTCTCTTCCTATGCAATTGCGTTGCTGGCTTTGCGACTGCAGACGGGAACAAAACCAAAATGGCAGATGGGGAGAAAGGGGCGGAGGAGCTGTGACGGAAAGGGTGGCTGTTAGCGCACGGCTCCGTCAGGCTCTCATCCGATTGGCTGCTGATGCAGATTAGCCCGCCCTTGTTATTAGAGGATGCATGCCATGTATAACAGTGTACAATGAACTGCTAAACGTCAAGCCATGTAAGAAATACGAAAACATGCCACTATGTTAAATAGACGGATATGCAAAAAATAATCTAATTTAAGATATTCCTAAAGTAATGCACCTGGTCAATGCTGATGAACATCTAACAACACCTTTTGTTTCAGTTGCTCTCTAATGAGAGGTCAATTTATTGTAAAACTGGATGCGCTCAATGCTTTCACTGGACGTGACCTAATCAAGTGTAAAAGGAAAATATTAACATACAAATAAAACGAAATTAATATTATTATTACATTTTTTGCTGCATAAATGCTAGAAAAGGCAATGCATCATTCTTAGTCCGACTTAAGCAATTATTACCAAGTCTCACAATGCTCAGTGCAGCAATGAATGAAACAGGTACGTACGTAAGGTACGCTACTTGCATGCAAAGTGATGCTGATCGGCTGGGCACCTAAGATGAGTTTAGTGGGTGAGCATTCCTTGGAGATGAGTATTGGGGGAGGGGGTGCCCAAGCAAATGACAAAGGCCCATGAAAAAGACTGGGCCGCGTATTCTAGGGTACACGTGTCGGAGGGGATCCCTTAGTTTTCATGCTCCCATTTCGAAATGATCAACACTGTCTCCATCGTTCTTTTGCACTCGAAACAATAAGGTCACAACAACAGCCTGCCCAACATGACACGCTGAACTGACCACTATCACGTTACTGTGGTAACACCGAGAACCGAGCATCTTAACATTATCCTGAAAAAGCACATATGGCTAAAATAATTATCTTCATGAGGTTTTATGTTCCTCGAGGCAAGTTTCTCTGACTTTGGCTCCCGAAATAGCTTGCATCTAATGTTTGCAGCAACTATAGCTCTCCAGCTACTATTTGACACATTATGATCCTAGACAATTGTGCTGTCCACAAAAACGTGCAAATGCTAGTTTAACATTATCTGTTCCGTGACACTGCCTTATTAGCATCGGTTAGCAGAGTAAGTAGACGAAAATATTCAATTAGCTAACGGTAAGTAACGTTAACAACTATCAGTAACGCAGATCAAAAGACTGCGTAGTTGTTAGCTTGTGTGAAGCTAGCACTTCGGCTATCTAGCCACCCAACGACTTTTTCCCTTCTTGTGCCGCTATGTTAGCTGCCCAGCTAACGTTAGCCAAGTAGCTGGGGCTAACGTTACCGAGGCGAGAGATTACACAAGTGTGCAGAACTTACCACATCCGATATTACTCGGCCTGATTTGGAATATTAAAAAATGCGGCTTCTATTTGAGCGAGAAACCAAACAAACAATGTGACAAGTCAACACAGCCGCTGACGGCCAACTGAAAAGTGTGTCAGGCTGGCGGGCTCTGTGTGAGTTTTTTCCACTGGACGTCTCCCTGGCCGGCTGCTCCCGAGCCGTTTCCCCTCACTCTATTTCAGTTGAAAGCAAAGCAAAGCAGCAACATGTGCACGTTACAGGCGGGACCAACACTCTGACCTAAAGGACTCAACGAAATGTGGCGACCGTAGATTTTATTCCTTGCATAAAACTTAATCAATTTTTAAGTGAATCGCACGATACTTAAGAATGCTACTTGTATTTATCTCACACTACCGAGAGTTTGTACAATATTTAAGAAACAAGCGCCCAATACTATTTCACACCCCTATGCTTTCGTTAGTGTGGACCATCCCAAACCATACGCAATGTCGTATGGGACTTGTAGTGTGTATGTTAACAGAGTTGACAAGAGAAACACTATCTTATGGGAACACTTGATTGAAACTGTTTTGAATACTTGTATTCATGCATGAAACACAATAATTACGCACCCTAACAGATGTTTTTATTAGTTTTATTGAAAGACTTGCAAACAGAGCACATTTTACAGTTTACATGGGTTATGAATAATGGTAGTAAGAGTGGGGAAAATACCACAGAACCTGAAAATAGCACATACAGCCAAAAGCATAATGAAATATAGTTTACACGACACAGGAGTGAAAATAGGAAGGACTGTGTGTGACAATAACAAAGTATCCATGATGATCAAACAAGAAAAAAGATACAATTTTGGTGGACACGATTTTTGAAAAACTTTAATGAAAGAAATTGTTTTATGCGTGATTGCAAAGCCTTTTTACAGTGTGTTGCATCTGGATAATGTCAGTTGGTTAGAAACTCAAGACTTTGGTCACAGTTCAAGTTTATCTATGTTGCACAAATCAAGAAATTGTGTGATCAGATCAGCCTTTCATATCTGTGTGTCACAATGTGACTCTAAGCTCCAACAAAAGCTGAAGAGCTACAAAAATAAAGGGAATAAAAGAATAAATGGGAAAAGCTGCTTTGAAAAAAAGCTATGCTAGCTATGAAGGGAACTGGTTTACATTCTGGGAGCAAAGTGATAATCAGGAATCTAATTTTCTCTATTTATTTACAATATGTAATAATACAAATGTGCCTGTCATCTCTTATTGGTAGTTTATTGTATTTTTCATACCTTTGTAGTCTGATAGTTAAACTTTGCAGAGTGCTGCTTGTATATGCTAGCAATACATTTGTTGTGTGGCAGATATTCAGGCACACAGTAAAGATTTTATAATTAAACAAGCTTTGGAAATATTGGATATTGAGCTCAATTTTAACTAGCATTTTTCTCAAACAGACATTTTATATGAATCATAAAAATCAGCAATATATATAGTAGCTTTTCAAAGTCCAGTTAATCATTCTTCTTTACAGTCTTCAAACTCTCACCACCAAATAATCAATTCAAAATTTCAAATATTTTGCGGTGTGCATTGCTTTATTCACTCCTGCCTCATAGTCCTCTACCCATCCCAGCCCTGGGCGATTGGCTGGACTGAGCTGCGCCTCTCTGTCCATCCTTGTCTTCCTGCTCCCTGACAGCCTGGGGTGAGGTTTGCGTGGGTGGAGATGGTGGAGGATATGACGGAGGAGGAATACCGAGGTGGGGGAGTGTCGGTAGTGTTGGTCTTGGAGAGGTGGGAAGTGGTGGAGGAGTTGTTGAGGTTGAAGTTGAGGAGTGTTGAGTTGGACGAGAGCGAGAAACAGAAGGCGAGGCATGTGTGCTCCTGGCCCGTGCTGGCTCACTAGGACAGTCACTGATTTGCTCAAGCAGCGATGGCATGTCTCCCTCAATCTTCTCAAGTACGGCAACCATTTGCTTTTCTATCTGTTCAATGACACTGTCCATTTGCCAGTCAGTTGTGGTACTACTCCCACCTCCTCCATGGTGTAGACCAGTCCCGTACATGCCTACTCCTCCTCCTCTGCTTGTATAGAGGGAACTGTAAGGACTCCCAAAGCTCCCAGCCATTCCCATCCCTACAGAGATACCCTCTGGGTTGTATGGTGCAGCATGTCGACCCAAACTAGCGGAGCTGCCAGCTACATAGCAACCTTGCGAGGCTGCAGCAGGGGTCCTGGCTATGTTAAACTCTGCACTGTGTCGGTCTGTTTTTCTGGTATTTCTATCCCTTCCTCCCACAGGACTGCCATCACCTCTCAACTTAACACCTAGTGCTGCATCAACCCCACTTACCATACCTACTGAAGGTGTAACTGGTGCTACCACTGACCTCTCTACAACCGCTTCAGGCACTTGTGTCTGACACCAGCTTCTGTCAGTCTCATCCTTGTGTGTGCTATGGGTGGCTGGTTGCTTCTCTGGTGAGGCTGACACAGTGGGAGCAGCGGTGGAGCCATGAAGTGTTGCAGCCATTTTACGTTTGCTGGTGGGCTCAGGGGAAGCAGATGTGTGCTGCTTGCCCAGATTTGCACCTGGAGAACTTTCTAACAGCTTTGATGGTTCAGGAATCACCGGCAAAGTCTGCTTAACGTCTGAAACAACTTTAGTTTGACCCAAATTGGCAGCAATTTTCCTGGTTCCATCTGAAGCTCCCTTCTTCACCCCAGTCATAGTAAGCTCCTCCTGTGTTAGTTTAGGACCTGAACTTGATGGTCCAAGAGGGTCCTTCCCATCTGATGGTGCCGTTCCAACTGATGGACCCCTGGAGGTGTTTATTTCATCAGGACTTTCTTCTATCTTAACAGAACCCTCATCTTGTTCCATACCAGCTTGTGTATTTTCAACAGTAACCTCTAAAGAAACACTGCTTGATGTAATCCCTTCATCTGTTGTCCCTTTATCTCCCTCATCACTTGTCCCCTGGGAAACACCCCCTTCGCCATCTCCTATCCGTTCCCTACTTTTAACTTCAACTGAACTGTCATTCAGTGCTTCAGAGTTCTTCAGCCGCTGCATGAAGGTTGTCACACGAATTGCTTTCTGCAAATAGGAGGTAAAGAAAAACAGGGTAAAGAGGGCTTTGTTAAACAAGATTACCTTCACAAAATTTGTCACAGACAAGTTTTTGACAGAATGTCTGTTGAAACAGAATGATTTAGCGTCAACATCCCCAATGATGTCATTTCTGTGGAGTGAAGAAATATTAGTGTCAGTTCTTTTACCTCCAAGAAGCTGTGACACATTATAACCTGGTTTAAATCAATCTCACCACTCACACTTTCCGAGAAACTCCTTGACTGTTTGCTTAGAGTAAGATATTTGTGTACACCTCACTTTACAATTGATGTGTTTACTCAACTGGTATCTTTTGACCCACAAACACTAAAGGTGTTTGGGACGACAATGTGTGAGTTTAGTAGTTGTTTGTAAACCAGGAAGCAGAATTCCCTTGAATTCATTGAAAATGAAAAGCTGCAGAATCAAATGTGACTTACCTAAACAGCATCTGTATGTGCACTGATCAGGCATTACATTACATTATGACCACCAACCTAAAATTGGTATGTTCCCCTTCCTATTGAGGCCCAGACTCCTCAGGCCCTTTAAAATATTCTATGGCAGGGTTTCCCCCAGTGTAAGCCTGGCGGAACACCAGACTTTTCTTGTGCCCCCACCAGGCTAAGAATTGCTTATTTGTTTAAGTCTTTTTAAAATGTTTGCATTTTTAAGACTTTATAGTTGATGTTCAGGTACTAATCTTCAATCTTTCAATAATGTATACTTATCAAGTGATATTTTCAAATTATATTTTCAACTTTAAACATTTCTAACTCAAAAACACAACAGACTGCTGGATGAATGACTGCCCTGGCAAGTTTTTAGCATTGGAGCAGCTTATACACCAAATGACAATGCATTCTAACAAGTTAGCATTAGCCTCTTGAGCAATTTCAGCTTTAGGTACTTGTCATTTGAATCACAAGTCAGTGTCTCCAATCCTGTGCATAAATTAGACTTTTGGTGACCATCATTAGTTCACCACTTTTCTTACCTTTTACTTGCTCTGACTTACTCCTCTACATGTCACAACTGAGCCCTTGATAAACTCATTCAGGTCATTATGGTTCACATTTTTTTTTTTCTGGTTCTATCTTTAGATGATACAATATTTACTTGCGGTCTAATACATCCCACACACTCACAGGTGTGATAATTAACATATAACCAGTTTTATTTGCCTCACCTGTTAGTGGTCATGATGTTATGCATGACTGGTGTGTGTTTTGGATCTACCAACAGTATGGGGCAATGAGCCAGGATTTGTGTAAGAGGAACACCAGAGGGCCTTACAGTTCAAATCACTGTAGTTCAGTTGTCAACAGTGGCCCACATCCTTTATTTCCTTTTCATTTTGCCAACTCCTTATCTACGTAATAAAAAAAGAATACAATAAAGAACAAAACTCTGTTCCCTTTGGTAATCAGTACCTTTTTAACCGCTATGCTTAGACAAACTAGCGCAGATGAGGAGTAGGAAAGGTTCAGAGTGAGCCACTTTGAACATTTGAATATTCTCCAGTGAAGAAAAGTGGAGCAGAGTGGATGGATCTCATTTGGGACAGGCAGAGTGACAGTAGGAAGGAGCAGAGCTTGAGAAAAACTTTGAAACCCTAAACATAATTACGGCATTATCCAGAGATTTTACAAATATTGACTCCAATGTATATATCTGCAAGCTAACACTCATTAAAATAAAAAAATAAAATAAAACAATATTCCATTGTCAAGTGATGTTTTATTGAATCACTTCATATGAGTTTCTCCTCACACTCTGTCCTTCTACTCTCAATCATAGTGGAAAACAATACCTTTATCTCCTGGGAACACATGGTGAAAGAAAAAAAGAAATTTATACCTGTTACTCATGCTGTTAGGTCAGCACCGCCATCTTCTCTCTTCTTCCTCCTCAGCAATCCCATCTTATATTTTTACAAATTTAAAATACATCTCTGTGTAGTGAGCTCAAAGTACTTTAGGCCACAGACCTATTCTTCCATTTAGTCAGCTGGTCATTCTGTTATATTATCTACGTTGCAGATGCTACAAGCAGAGCAATAGAGTGTGCTCATACCCGCCATTTGGCCTTTGCGAAGTTCTTCTCAAACTGGGCACATACACCATCCTTCAAGTTCTTCTCTGAAGCACCATTTCCTGCAATCCTGATACAAAACACATGCAGTACAACAATTAAACAACTGCACCATAGATGCAAAAGGAAATAAAATCTCAGTGCTTTCACCATCACACTTACCATTCGTGCTGGAGAGCATCCTCTGCTGTGATTCTCAGCATCTGGTCCACTTCCATAAGTCTACACACAAGCCCCTTTGCTGAGGTAGGAAAAGCAGCAGAAATATATTTCACATCATCACTAATGACAACTTAAATGCAGGCAGTGCCTTGCAAAAAGTTTACATCATTTATATATATATATATATATATATATACAAAAAAATCTCGCAAACTTCTGTCTTTGTGATTGTGCACCTCTTGATGTTGGTCTATAT